ACATTTCTATAACTCAAGGACCATTTAGATTTCCATACTAAACTTCAGTGGAAAAGAAAGGTGAGGAGTAGGCTCAGTGCTTGGTGCTCCTGGAGAAGCAGAGCATTCTGATAGAGAATTTAAAATATATTTGTTTCTTCATGGTTTTAAGAACACTGGGGAAAATTTACATTTAGCTTTCAGGTCTACCCAGATTTATTTTTTGTATTCATTAATAAGTAAAGATTTATTTTGCAAATATTACTAGTTCCTTCAGCATTTGACTAATTTATTATTTCTCCACTCAAAATATTAATTTTATTTTATATCTCATTTAATATTTGTAGGTCTGTTTGTGTACTTTAAGTACTTTTTGTGTACTTTCCAGGACTATTTGCAACACTGTTAAATACAAAACTTTTTATTTATTTTAATATTTTTCTTCCCCTTTTTTAGGTCATTGTCATTTTTGTAATATTTCTTGGCTATTATACCTACTCTACTTTTTAGATTTTTAAATAAGAATTTTCACTGGAATTATGTTGAATTTTTGTATTATTACAGGGAGAATTAACATGATTTTAAGAGTTGTTTGCCAGTTAGGTTATGAGATTCTATACAATTTTATTGAGTATTTTATAAGCATTGTTTTGCAAAGACTAATTAAACCTTTTCTGCAAAAAATTTTCCTTTTTAGCACCCAATGAGAAAGTCACATGAACTGTCAGTTATGAATTGTCTGAAAATATCTGTACATTATTATGATAATTCTTGAGGTGCTATAATTTATTTAAATATAGAGCCTGTGTATTACTTCAAATATTATATGAACTTTTAAAAGTAATATTCATGAGATTGCTTTTTCATGCATTTACATATTTTCTGGTTTAGTGCCAGGTGTGTGATAGCTTGCTAAAATTTATTAAAGTGCTCTACATTTTATATGTCTCAGATTAATTAATAATTACACTTAAAAGTGTGAAAGAGCATGATGCTAAATTTTTGCAGCTTAGTAATATTTTGGAGCAGTGGTGAAAAGAACCAAAACTTTTTCTTCCATACTTAAGTATTGTGAGCATAAATTGTTCATTTCTGTAATATCTTTAGTCATCTCTTAGATTAAACAATTTGCCCTCTTATTTATCTTTCCCTTCCAAAGGAGTACATGACAGTTGTTTAAAGTTTCTATTTAGAACTATTTGAACATATTTGATATTTTTCTTGTTTATCCTGTGATACATCTGCATTTTTATATGCATTAATAAATACTAATTAGATATACAATTAAGCTTTAAAGCAATTGTTTATACATTTTGAGTGCTAATTTTGGTTTACTTCTTAGTTTGTACATTTATTTCTTCATAATTGGTAAGCTCTCCAACACTTATTTGTGTTCTTATATACTTGTGAGTGAACATAATTGACTGTAGTATTCGTGTAGATTAGTATCCCCTCAAAAAATGTTTTGCTCCATTGTTTTGAGGAAGGGAATAAATATTACATGGAAAGAGGTTCATGTCATTTGATTTTAACTAGAAGGGGTATTTATTAAGATTCACATTTTTAATGACTAACCTCCCAAATGTCAGTTACCCTTTATTTTATTAATTTTATTGGTACATTTAAGTTATACAATGTAAAGACCTTCATCATTGGAAATTTGCACCTTTGCATAATCCATCTTGGTTCTTATTTTTTCCCCATTCCTCTGCCCTCCTTTCAACCGCTCCACACCTCACTACCTACAAGGACTTTGTTTTCTTGTTTTCTTTTTTGTTTCTCATGTTAATTCCATTCCCATCTTTCTTTTCCCCTACCCCTCGCATTTCCCCTTCCCTGTTACATCTTTTCTTCCTATTTCACATTATAGCTTTTATATTTCACTGTTAATACCTTTTAGTCAGTTACACTTTTGGTTTCTCACACTAGAGAAACTTTGGTATTTACACATACGCATCCTGTTTATTTTACTTTGATTTTAACCTTTGCTTTTCCAGTGTTTTTCCTTGAAATTAAATTAATACACACACACACACACACACACACACACACACACACACACATACACACACACACACTGGTCTGTCTTGAAAGATCTTTTCTGTAATGATTTTTAAAATAGAGGAATCCACCAAAATAATACTTTGGTATTTAGTTTAAAAGAACTTACATGAGTAAGGTATTTATTGCTATTATAAAATTACCATGAAACTTAGTAACTTTGAAGCAGCATCCATCTATTTATTGTGTCTGTTCCTGTGGCTCAAGAATTAGCCATGACCCTGTTAAACTTTCTGCTTTAGTCTCATCACGCTATAGCCAAAATGTCAGCCAGATCTGGGATCTCATGTGAAGGCTTGATGGAGGAATGATCTTTAGATCTCTCTCCCAGTTCGGAGAACATCTAACTCTTTTTAGTCCTATTTTGTCGTTCAGTCATAACAGTGTATTTTTTTAAACTTTATTTTTTATTAGGTATATTTGTCATACATATTCTTTGCATTCGTCGTATAGAATTTGTACCTGTACATAATATATCTTCTCTTTTTTCCCTATTCCCCTCCTTTCCCCATCCCTCAACTTCTCCTCCCTTCTCATTTACAAAAGCTTTGTTTCCTTTTTTTCCTTTCATTCTCTTGTTTTTCCTTTTCCCTTTTTTCTCTTTCCCTTCCCTCTCCCTTGATCTCCTTCTCATTTGAACATTTTCTTCCTATTTCCCAATCTCTATCATGCATTTTGGTCTTTATTTACACTTTTATTTTCTCACACAAGAGAGACAATGTGATCTTTAAATATGTGTCTTAATGTATTTTACTTAAAAATGTGCACTATATATATATATATAGTACATTTTCTTTATCCATTCATCTGTTGATAGGTTGTTTCTAAGATTTAGCTATTGCAAATTGTGCTACTATAAACACGGATGTGCATATATCACTTGATATATGATACTTTTAACTCTCAAGAAAGATACGAAGGAGGGGAATAGCTGAATCAAATGTAACCTCTAGTTTTAGTATTTTTAGGAATCTCCATAATATAGTACATTTTCTTTATCCATTCATCTGTTGATAGGTTGTTTCTAAGATTTAGCTATTGCAAATTGTGCTACTATAAACACGGATGTGCATATATCACTTGATATATGATACTTTTAACTCTCAAGAAAGATACGAAGGAGGGGAATAGCTGAATCAAATGTAACCTCTAGTTTTAGTATTTTTAGGAATCTCCATACTGATTTCCATAGTGGTTCTACCAATTTACATTCTTGCCAACGTTGGAGAAGTGTTGTCTTTTCCCTACAGCCTCGCCAGTTTTTATTATTGGTTGATTTCTTGATGATAGGCATTCTTTCTGGAGTAAGTTGAAATCTCAGTGCTGTTTTAACTTGCATCTCTTGAATTATCAGCAATGTTGAACATTTTTTACATATTTATTTGCTGTTTGTACTTCATCTGAGAAGTGTCTGTTCATTTCAGATGCATATTTTTGGATTAGGCCTTTAAATTTGGAGGGTATCTGATTTTGTTTTAGTTCTTTATATATTCTAGATAATAGTCTTTGTCTGAGGAATAGTGAAAATTGTTTCATTATGTGGGTTGTCTCTTTCACTTTGTTAGTGATTTCTTTTGCTGTCCAAAATAATGATGAGATCTCAGTTACTGATGCTTTGTAATATATCCTGTGTCACAGGGGTTTTGTTTATAAAGTCTTTGACTACCGTTATGTCATCAACAATTTTACCAATTTTATCTACTAGCGGATTGTTTGGGTCAATATTTAGAACTTTGGTCCATTTTGATTTTAGCTTAGTGTATAGTAAGAGATAGGGGTCTATTAATCTTCAACATGTGGAAAGCCAACACCATTTATTAACGAGGCGGTTTTTCTCCCAGTGAAGGTATTTGGCCCCTTTGTCAGAGATAATGTGGCTGAGTCCATTTGAAGTTGTTTCTGCATCTTTCATTCAGTGCCATTGATCCTTAAATCTTTTTTTTTTTTTTTTTTTTTTTTTTTTTTTTTTTTTTTTTTTT